AGTTCCTCTTCAGCAAACATTGGATGCAAGACTTGGCACACAGGAACACACAGAAATGCCTTAAGCCATTAAAGTGACTAGACTAATCAGCAAATTTTCTTTGGACAGAAATTCAGCACTTTGGGAGAGGGAGGTGAGATGGTCAGGAAGCTTGTGTGTTGTATGGAGTGTGTAATGTGTAGTATGCAGGGTTGAGAGGCCAGGGGACAGTGCAGGCCCCTGCAGAGCACTGATAAGGGCTTGTTTACCTTCCTGTGGATGGTCAGGCCTCCATCTGCAGTTGCGGAAACTCCGGAACAATAGGTGTGTGTGTGTGTGGGGTTTAGAGAGAGACTTTAGCCAGCCTTGAAGCTCTCCTGTCCCTCTCTGACTAACTCTGATGGGACTGTTGACCCCTCCCTCCCCCTTTTCTATCATGACTTGGTCGCCCGACCATGGACACAAACGGATTACTTTATCCCAAAGGGACCGAGGAAGACAGTTGGTGTTGACGTCGTCTGCTTCCAGGGTTTCCCCTCCAGCCCTCCCCCCTTCTTTCTTTCAAATCCCGCCATGGACTGTAGCTTCAAGCTCTTTCTTTTTTCTTGGCAAGTAGCTGATGTTTTTTTCCCACTGTGACCAAAAATGAGGGAAGGCATGAAAGATAGGGCATGTAATCAAATCTGCCTACCTGCTCGCCCTAGGTGAGTGAAAAGGCAGCTTGTTATTTGGCCCGTAGGTACTCAATCCCTTGAATCTAAATCAACATTTAGTTGAGGTGTGATGGAAATGTTTAATTCAAGGCCTCATCACTGCCTGTCAGTACTCTGCAATGCCGGCTCAGCATAGATGCTCAAAGCTGAGGCAACAGTGTTACAGACGGGCATCACAGATCTTTCATTTACAGGAAAAAGAAGCCAGCTAATAGAAACCACACTAACAACAAACCTTGCACAACATTTCTACCAAATCCAATATTTTTAAGTATGCTGTTTTTCGAAAAAAAATAACCCTATCAAATGACAGCAAACATCTGTTGGCTATTCTTGTTGTCATTAAAGATTTCTTTTTTCCTAGAAGTGTCTTCTTGTTTTGTTCGTTTTTTAACCCCTATTAACCTAGTTCTTTCATTTAAAATGAAGGGTCATTTTCATTTCTGCTGACCAATAACATGCTGACACTCTATAATATGTCCAACACAGGAAGTGATAATGTAGTCTGTCAGATACAGTACCAGAGAAAAGGGAACTGTGCCTATGTTTGCACTTTTTATGCAGTTAGTCAGTCAGGAGCCACCGTGACATTTTCAGGACATGTGCTGTGACTTCTCAATTATGTGTCTGATTTGTTCATGTAAAACTGGCTTGTATGGTGCTTATGTAAATGAATGGAACAGGAACCATTTATCCTCTTCGCTTATTGCCTTGTTTGACCACTTCCTTCTCAACCACTCTAGGTTGTTTACTTGCAGCTCTCCATTTTATTTCCACTTACAGTAAGGGCAAACTCATAATTTTGGTGTGATGGGTCTTTTGTTATCAACATAATGTTAACATAGTCCATACAATGCTTATTTGGCCTCGCTATTGCCTCACAGTATTAAAAAAACATATTTATTAGACTATTTGAAACAATATAATGTAATTTGCTGCAGCCAACTTTAAAACACTTTTTAACGCATTCACAAACATCACTTAACATTTGTAGCTAATAAAGAAATTAAAAGTGAAGTTGATGAAGAAAAACTAAAACTGACATTGTATGTCAACATGAAGCTTTTGCAGTATGTGGAGCTCAATTTAACAAATTAAGTTTATAGACAGTTTGAACATGATCAAAGTACATTTCAAGCTGATACTGAGATGCCCTAAAATGGTCACAGTAGTGGTGCAGCCTAAATTGTACTATGCACGATTGAACACATGGAAAACGGATGTCTGTGATTTGGTGAACTAGTCTCCTATCTTTTCTGGAATGCCCTGGAGGTTAGGGAAGACAGAGCAGATAGTCCCTAGACATGTGACGTTACTAACTGGCAGATTGTGTTCTCCTCGTTAGCTGTGGCTCCAGAGCGCTGCAGACAACCGGGAGAATGCTTGGGAAAGAAAAAATCATATTGTAAGTTATTCAATGTTTTCAGATACTGGCACAGTCTGACAAAATTAGATTTCCCCAAAAGCTGCAGCACCAACAGCAAATTGGCCGTCATTTATTTTGGCTGCACACTCGTTAATTTTATAAGCATTTGAGCAGTTTTCTCTAATATGTTTAATATGTTTCCAGTTAAATAAAAGTGCCCATTAACTCTGGAATTCGGCCATATAGTGTTGTTAATACGGTAATTGTCTTAAGTTTACTCAGGCATTGAAATTCATTATCTATATAATGGAATCGGCGTGAAGAATTAAAGCAAACAAATGTCATTATAAGCACTTTTCATGAATTGAGTCCATTTTCTTTATGTCCCTGATGTTTTCTACTCCCCCTCATTCCTTACATCTAAATGGAAATCATCAACATCTATAAACATGTCTTCTCATGGAATGGGAAATGAGGGGGGACTGATATAAGTAGATGAAGAAGACAGGGAATGGAATGGCTCTTCTATACCTCATTTACCAGCAAACCGCTTAGCGAGGCCATTGGCATTTCCGGGGTCAAGAGGGCAAAATGAATGTTCTTCATATCCTATAGTGACTCATAAAAAAAAAGAGACCAGTGACACACACACACACACACACACACACACACACACACACACACACACACACACTCAAGCACACATGCTGGTGCACAGTTTTGTGCAGTCGGAGTGATTTATACCAAGACCTCCTGGGCGACAGTCATGGGCCGTTGACTCTGTCACAGCAGAACAAGAGAGAAATAACTTTATGGATGTGGATGTTGAGCAACAGACATTAGCACAGAAGGGCCAGAATAACAGGAAACCAGCCTTGACCTATGCAGTGAGGGAGGGAAAGCGAGATGGCAAGGGAGTGAGGATGGCTCTCCATCTTGATTTGCTAGAAAAGCTGCAGTCCAAAGCTGAGCAGGCTAAGAAACAGAGAAGACAATGTTCCAGGCATGACACAGACCACCTAAATCCTACTGTCTTTAATTTTAGTAATAAAGGGCAGTGGTACGATCTTTACTTCCACAGAAAATGGAAGAAAAATAGATTTTAATTGGACACAAACAATAGACCTATTATTCCAACAACAATAAGAACCATTAGATATAACTCTGATCAATAAAATCATATCTCATCCGCTGCTCTTTTTCCATCAGAGATATTGTGGTTAATAATTGCCCATAATAGCAACCCAATTTCATTGCGGGGACAACAATAAGCAGAGAAAGGGCTGATTATGAAACATGTTCTAACTGTGGGTTTACTAGCAGTTTTGTGTTGCATTCATTACTTTCCATCCCTATCTCAATTCTCCTCCACCACTTGTGATGAGAGTGCAGTAACCAGGGTCTTTGATTCATGCTGCTTCTAAATAAGGCACGTCCTGTTGACCTTCCAAACTTTGCAATTTACTTTTTAACCCTTTCCTCTCGATTCCTCTTTCTTTCTCATTCCACTTTTTTTTTACTCCCTATCTCCTCTCTGAGAGATTGTGGCCTGCTGACTCAACAGACCCAGACATATAATAAAAGTCAATGGACCGGCATGTCATGCAGCATTTGCTTACTAAATTATTTTTTTCTGTTATGATATCAGTCTTGCTTGCTTATATGCTTCAGCAGCGGCTGTTTTTGAGGTGATTGAGGCCTGCATAGTAGATGCTTGGCTTGGGCGTGTATTGCTTATATTCATCTTACTGAAGATATGCTTATCTAATGTCATGTCTCCCCTCCTCATTGTATGGCTCTGCTTGAGTTGACTCGGCTTGCTTTGGTTCTGGGGGATTTTCTTACCTTCATTTTCCACTGCTGATAGTTTCCTCTCAGTATAGGCGGGATTCTACTTTGACGGCCATAGCGCTATGGTGTGGGACATTCCCTGAATCTATTATTTGGCAACTAAATTATAAAAAAACTTTTGCTATTGCTGGCTTTTTAGAAGTGTGCGTGCAGGATGTTGCCTGAAACAATCACTGTTCTGCAATGTTCAAGGTAATATCCATGACTGTTGATCCATATCCAAAACGTATTTAAAAAAATCTAAAAGGCATGTCATTTTTAAACATAACTGTACAATGCAGCGGAAATGCAACCTAAGGCTTAAGAGCAGTACAGATTAGTTCTGACTGATCCAATTAGAGTCCATTCCAAAATGAAGTTTTAGGTTTTGCAGATTAGAGACGACGTCAGCCATGGTGCCAGGAAAGAGATCTCTGATTGAGTTTGAAAAAAGACACCCTTTAAACTTCATCTTTACTGTTTTTCTTCATGAAAGAGGAAGTTTGCTGGAGAATATTTTGTCCCCGCCAACTTTTGACCGGCTAGTGAGCACATATTTTCTTTCAATCTGACCCAATAGAACAAACTCACACATACAGTAGCTCGGGTCAAACGGCAGGCATTTATTCCCAACCTCATCCATGACCGCTCAGCCTCGGCTCGATTAATTCAGCCTCCAGAGGGACAGATCCCCAGGTTAAGCAGCAGGCTCATGGCACAGAGCAGAGTGAGCAGGCTTGATGAATGACTGCAGCCCGAGATCCTGACACGCCTGATAAACGTGAACCGGCAGATTCGTTTTTAAACAATGTAGTCCTACCCTCACATTTAACATCCATGCTCTGAGACCAGGGAAAAGCTTTCAAAGTGACTAATAACAAAAGTAGCCCCTTTCAGAAAAGGATTCTCCAAGATTGCTGAGTTAATCTATCTTTTAAAAATAATGGTCATATCCAAATATGACAGGATGTTTGTGGATTGAGCCATAATCTCGCAGTACTTGGCCTTTGACACACACAAAACTAGATAATGTTGGAGGCAAGAGGTTATTTAGTTGAACTTGACTATACGTTGCTGACACTGCTTAACCATTTGTACTTAATTCCTTTCAGCCTCAAGCCAGACGTGCGATCCTATAAAGGTTAATGACAACCCATGGGTGTACGTGACTGAGGAACTAATTGGCTGTTGGACCAGCTTCATCGGACAGGACAACGCAGAGGTCCACATCCTCAAACTCAACTTTGACACCCTGGTAAGCATGTCAAGGTCACACAAATGAGATGCTGAGAAACTAGAGCTAATTAAGTAGAAGAAGAGAAAAAAGCTATGCTAGTGAAAGAGCAGCACCTTAAAGTGGACCTATCATGCTATATTTGAATAATATATTGTAGGGCCATACCTATATATAAAACATGTCTGCCAAGTTTTTTTTTCAAAATACCAAACAGATCATGCATTTTAGCCATGCCTCATTTCTCTCTATTTGCTCTTTTTTAGCCCTGTTTTTCCAAGGGCTGAATCTGTGAGAAGTCTTCTTTGCTGCTTTTGTGGCAGACTACAGCGCCACCTACAGGCCTGGCATATGTACTACAGCGTCTCCAGCGCTTTTGAACGGCAATGGCCGTGGCTGTCTCCTCCTGATAGGTGGAGAGTTGCCCATATAGGCGGAGCTCCTCGTTTCTGACGTCAGAGGATATTTCAAATCTGTATCAGTCTGTATCAGATCCGTTGCAGCCCCGTTTTTAGAGATTTGGGTATGGAGGAAAAGAGAGAGGGTTGTGTTTTCTGACACTTGGTGAGTTCCCTGACACACCGGGGACACATATTCATGTATAAAAGACGTACAAAAGTGCATTTTGCATGATAGGTCCACTTTAACTTAGCAGTGCGATTCAGCAGGCAAATAAAACCTGCTCAGTAGACCAGATGACAATTGCAAAGCATGGTTATCTGTCAGGCTGACAACACAGCTTACTTCTCATTGAAATCCAATACTGTGCATGGGTATGTTATCATCCGGTAATTAATCATCCTTTGCTGTGGACAGTACAATGTGTCATGTCCAGTCAGACCTAAAAGGAAGAAGCAGTGTGCTTGTCCATGCATTGCATACATGTTCACCTTGTATGTATTTTATGCCTTCTAGATAATACAAAAGGTCAATCATTGTTACAAACACAGGGAATCAGTTTGAGTTCACATCAGTGGTAACAGAGATTCAGGGACTTTGTTTTCAGGGCTTACTGCTGTGGCTTACACTTGAATACAACTCAACTCAATAAAATGTCTGCTGGAAAAAGGTTTATAACTGCTGGTTTGTCAAAAAAAAACAACATGGAAGACCTGGCAGAGATGGACTGATAGCTCCCCTCTGTATAAAGGGATACCACTTGCATACAAGGAGCAGATGGATAGGCAGGGGAGTAGGACGTGATGAGCTGAGGCAGGAAGACACTGATGCTTGGCAGACAGGAGAAACATGGCAGATGTAGAATGAGAGGTTAGTGTGCACAACATGGAGATTAATCGGAGTCAGCAGAGGCGAGAAGTAAGGACAGATAAGATACGTCTACTTTTTTTAAGGAGTACAACTGCATGTTGAAAACAAGCCTTAAAAAGCCTTGTTTGGCTCCAAAGGCAGCTGTGCGTGAACAGTTTTGAAAAAGAAAATCTGATCAATTGCCTTTATAAAGTGTCAGTGAGAGGACTACAGGTGAACATATCCTATTGCGTTAAAAAAGTGAGTTTACCAGAAATCTTTAGCTTGATTCTTATGTTTGAGGTTAGCTGCTAACAGCCGCTTAGCATATGCAAGTGAAACAAACATATATCTCTATGAGGCGATGGTTGCATTGTTGGTATGGCCCAGGTTTTTATCCCAAATAAGACTTTGTGAGGATATCTATGGTGCTGCGGCATACATTCTTTCCCTTTTTTGTGTATATCTAAAGTCTGATAATGTTATCGAGGTCTTAAATCTCTAATCTCTAAATGTCTCTAATATGCTAACTGCTCTTAAGGCTCACAAACTGTAATCCCTTAAATACATGCAAAAAATCAAATGTTCCCACACTTCAACATGTAAACACACTCACTCCATGTCCAACATTTATCAGACAAATAACAAGCTAACCCTTAACAGATGCCAGACATACGACCAAGACAGGGTCCTCCACTATGCCGGAGTTTTTCTTTTCTTTTGACACTAAACAGACTTTTTGACAACCCAGCTCTGCTAGTCTGGCTGTGTGTTCCAATCACTTCTTTCTCAGCTAAACAATCACACACCATAATTGCAGAAAGTATTTTGCTGGTTTTTTATGGTACAACTTTAAGCTAGGGAATGACACCGGACTGGAACTCCAGAAAAGTTTTAATCTATATGTTGTTATTGCTGTGCCAGACTCCATTTTTCACTGTCCAACATTGTCGGTCAGCTCACATTAGTCATTTCTTTATCAGTGTATTCTGTTTGGTTGCTTTTACTGTTTGTTCTCACTTAGGGTTCCTTTTGTAGTACTTTCACATAACTTGTGTTCAGCAACTGTCTTTTATTTATTGTCTCTTTGTTTTCACTCTGCTGGCCATTCTTTCTCATTCGAAAGCTATATGAGGAGGGAGGCAAAATTAATCTGACATTGAAGAAAATAGAATTTTTGTTTTTATGTTAATAATAAAAAGAAGTCTCTTTTTATGCAACTGGTGAGCCTCACGTTAACCAAGATCTGTAAAATAAGTTTTGGCTTTCTTCGTTTTGCTTTGAAAATGAGTTCTAACATTTGCCTTAAAGACTGTTGGACTATTTTGCCAAGTATTTATTCTCATTTATTGGACTGCAGTGTTGCAGCATGGGCTGGAAATCAGAAGAAAAAAGCCTGTTTGATGACAAAACAGATTGAACGTTTATTAAGAGGGAAATGCTTCTCATCTTTTTAGGCCTGAAGAGTAAAACCAGATGCCTAATGTCATGTGGGAGAATAAGAAAAGAAAGTTAGAGGTAGGAGTTAGAGTTCCTACGAAAATAGTCCAAGTTGTCTTACTAAAGAGTATACATTGGTGTGGGGGTTTCGGGAGTTCACAAAAGGAATTTGGCTTTGGATCTGTGTGATGCAATGGATGTTGTACAGAGTTTGCATATCCTGCTCTCTTGTGGGACTTCGAGTGATCGTTTTATCAAATGAAAAAGTGGACATAAGGTCTACTAACACAGTATCTGCTCACCACTGTCTGTTTAGAACAGATTTGTCTTGTAAACATTAAGGAAGGGGAACATCTTCATCTTATGCCAAACTGTCCCGTCAGATGGGAGGTTTGCTCTTTCCTCCCCCTTTCTTTGTCCTTTCAATTTTCTTATCACCTTCTTTCCCATCTCTTTTGTGTCTCCTTCTGATTTATAACCTGCCAGAGACGGTTGACTCTCACAGTTTGACCGCTCAGAGAATTATAGAGGGAGCATCAGGGTGCTGCATAAGCCAGGAGAACTCATAGGGAGGAGCTGCCCGTTGATGTTACACAGTGGCGTGGGGTAGTCAGGGTCTTGGCACAAGGCCGAGACTACACCAATGGAGCCAATTGGCGTTAAGGTGGTGAGCCAAAAGAATAACTGGAAACTGCTTCAGCAAAGCCCTTCAAAAAAATGCTTTCGAGTAAAAGGCTGAATAGGAAAACAATTGTATCTTGAAAGCGCAGGAAGACAAATAGAAAGGTGAGTGATCAGGGTCAGCAACAGTCATGATTCAGAGTTCAAAATGAAAGAATGAAAGTCACAAAAGGGTGAAGGGGGGGGAAGTAGACGGAGAGACAATGAAGCTCATTAGAAAGGAGTATTTAAGGAAAGCACAACAGACTTATCTCTGTATGAAGCACAATGAACTCCACAGGAAATGCCATTCATTCATTTACTTTATGTACGTGTCACGCGTCCTGGTTTTACAAAAAGTGTTCTTCCCGGGAAGACATTGTGTCACCACAATTGAAAATCTTACACTCTATTTGTGATAACATTGGGGTTTCAATTCCTTCGTTGTTCCTTCTGTCTTCAGATCCACTGTAGCTATATTTTCATGACTCAAAACATTTTACTTAAGCGGGAAAGCAAGTGTCGTTATAGAAATGTTTAAACCACAATAACAAGCAAGGCAACATGTTTTATTAACTGATGATCCAGGCTACTGGTCTTCAGTATTGTATGACATTCACAAATGTCATGTTTTTCGCTTTCTTCAAAGAAGAGACTCACATTTATGAGGTGCAGCTGCAGTCTTGCAAGACTCCTTCTGTACAAAACATTGGTGTGTGTGTGTGTGTGTGTGTGTGTGTGTGTGTGTGTGTGTGTGTGTGTGTGTGTGTGTGTGTGTGTGTGTGTGTGTGTGTGTGTGTGTGTGTGTGTGTGTGTGTGTGTGTGTGTGTGTGTGTGTGTGTGTGTGTGTGTGTGTGTGTGTGTGTGTGTGTGTGTGTGTGTGTGTGTGTGTGTGTGTGTGTGTGTGTGTGTGTGTGTGTGTGTGTGTGTGTGTGTGTGTGTGTGTGTGTGTGTGTGTGTGTGTGTGTGTGTGTGTGTGTGTGTGTGTGTGTGTGTTCCTCCATCCATTGCAGTTGGTGTGCAAGCTTCTCTTTCAGATGCATCTTTGTTTAGCTCATAGGCAATTTGTTGATGGTCCCCTCAGACCTCATTTGTTCTGTACAGGTTCTGAAAATGTTTCATACTGTAGCTCAAGCCTGAGCTCATCACAATTCTCTTGGAGCTCAGGTAGCAAGTAAATGCATTTAATATAAGGGACTCACACTGTTTTCCCCAGCATGCTCATTGTCTCCCCAGCAGGCCCAGCTCTGAAAACAATCTACCTTCAAATAAACAGACTGAAGTATTTAGTGTCAAAAGACATCACGTATACGTAGAAATAGGCAGACTTTTGCATCTTTGAATGTTAATCTCCTATGAAATCCTCACAGTAGAAAGAGAGTTTTTTAAGATGTTGTTGAGTCATTATATTCAACTGATTTCAAATCCATGACTCTTCTCTTAATCCAATTATCTACAGAAGTAAAAGTAATTAGGACTAGGATTTATTGGAGTCATGTCAGTCTTAGAAAAAACCCCTCTAAACTCGGTTATTATTCCACAGTGAAAAAGGTTTACTCGCCACCACTTAAACCCATAACACGCAGCAGTACCAGCTTCACCCTACGCACATGTGGAGCATGTTAATTATGGCTGATTCATAGAGTGACTGCGGTGGTGATTACCGAATCACATCGCCATTGTATTACCCTCAGTTGATAATATGGCTAATGAGGTATTACATTATGTGTTCAATTATGTCAGAATGTTTTATATAAGGCATGTAGCTACAGCCAAGATCAGCCACATGTGGGAGGATATACTGGGTTTCAAGTTACACGAAAGGCATGAATTAGTAATTAGCCTACTGTACCGTAGAAAATTATGAGTGACACGACATGCATTATTATTAATGTAATTACAAGGTTGTACTGTCTACTCATCAATGTATCATTACTCCAGGGTACTTTCACACTGTCTTCCACAGTTTTAATGCAACAAGGTCATACAGCATAAATATATAAAAAGTGCAGCTCACTGCACATCGGGTTAACAATTGATTTTGATAGCTTTTTATTTGCTTTTGACTTTTTCCCTTGTTGACTTGCACTGCATGGGCATATACTGTATACGAATAGAACCAAGCTGTATTACCTCATTAATGCCTGAGTCAACACGGAGGCTGACAGCAAAGACAGTTTCCTGTCTGTCTACAAACTTTACTCAATTGACTGGCATTGCTTTTTCTGGAGAGATGCATGTGTTGACATTTTACAGTTGCAAAAACAAGGATAATTGCCTCATCCCCCACAATAGCAATAGGCCAGAACTTGAATCAAACTTATATACTATTTACCTGAACTATGTTGAAACTGTGTGTCGCAAGCTAAATGTCTCTCCACTCTGTCAACTTGGGGTCTGTTCATCTAATGACACATGCCAAATAGGGAGGTTTTGCAAATTAGGAAGAAGCTATATTGTCTTATGGACAGAAAACAAATGCTAGAAGTCAGCATATTGGCAGATTTTCTTTCTGTGCGAAAAGGTCATAATAATTACTGTTGTGATATATGCCTCAAGAGTTCGGGTAACTCTGTATGAAAAGCTTAAATTATGGTTATTTTATTCTGGGCAGTAAAGTATGAACCTGTCATGCGTTTTTAGTTTCCAAAACTGCCCACGTAAATGCGCCCACACACTGGGCTTTGTGCTAACACAGTTTACTATTCTGTGAAAGGAGCAAGAGGCATTGCTTGGAGTCAAAGTTGTTCTTGAAACATTTCATAAAGTATTTTGATATTGTCTTGTTTGAATATGTCCTTTTTTCCCATTTATTTTCTGATGCAATATTGAGTAACACTTTCTTAATTTCCAATTTCTTTCAGGATCCCAAAATATTTTCTCTCGAAATGAACAACACCAAGCCAATGAACCTCATCCTCACATCACCATGCACATGCTTTGCCCTACACAACCTGCACCCTGATGTTAAACTTTATGTGAGTAACTTCTCTTTGTTTTGCTGCATCTGGCCGTGCTCACATCTCACACCTTTTTCTGGTCGCGGAGTTATTGGATATGTTTTGAGCTCTTTTTGTGAAGGGTTGCCATTGACACAAAAGATTGTCTAACAAGATCACACTAATCATTACGTATTTTTTTTACGCAGTTTATTATCTTTTAATGTATCCAGATGTATTTAGCTTCTGTCAAGTGACAGATGTTTTGAATACAGTCTGCCACAGCTGTGCAGCTCTGGATAGTGAAGCTTAAGAGAGACAATGAACCATCTCTGTTTTCTGTGGATATTCCTCAGTGGCTGCTCTGCATGAGGCAGTTTGTGTTTTTGGCTTTTATCTTCCACACTATAAATCTGTAAAATAAGTTTGAGAGTTGCCAGCAACAAGCAGGGCTGATGGCATCGGCTGTAAAATTAATGTTCCAATAAAATTGGATATTCCGACTTTTACACACTATCTCCAGATTAAATCTATGAATTCAGTCCACGGAGGCCAGGAAAATACTTTATTCAGCCTCTTGAGTTTCTAGTTAATAGAGTAATAATACTGTTATTGGGAAAAGTGTTAGATCAGTTGTGTTAGCTTTGTAATTGTAGTGTCAATCTATGTTTGTGTTTAAATTGGCATTGGTCTGTAGAACAGAATAGTCTTGTTTATGTGTAACAGTCTTTCAAGCAAAACATGTGTAACATCACCAAGCTAAAAAACCCATTACCTTAAAAAGGACTTAATTAGTAATGAGATTGAGTATCGATGTCATTGGTAATAAATGACCTAATTTATTCATTAAAAACTCTTATTGATTACTAAATAACTTAATAACTATAAATAAAGCTATATTAAAACTATTGAGTGTATACAGTTTTAAAATGACCGAGCTACAAATAATTTATATGTTGCGTTATTTATTATATTATAATTTCTTCAAATCCTATAAGTCCATGTTGTGAGCAGTTTCAGCCTCCTGTGCTGTTGCAACAACTCAATGTTATACATGGAGCGTCTGTCAAAGTTAAAAACTTTCTTGAAAGGAAAAATCATAATGAATATTCCATCAGCTTTATTTCTTCCCACATACTGACAAAACATTTTGGATGGCTTGAAAACCTGTCTTTGGCAACACTTGAGATTTGACAGTCTGCTGCCAAATGGTAACCTGAGGGGGCTGTACTACATCTGCGAGGCTCCACTAGCACCCGCACCCCCAAACGCGGCGCACCTACAGTGTAAGCGCGCCACAGTTTCGCCACTGCGAGGCTCCACTAGCACCCGTAACTGTACCCAGGAAGAAAAAGAGAAATCTCCAACGAGGCGTTCTGGGGCAGCATAGACAGGTCTTCTCTGTGTTAGAGTTTTACTCGCTACAGGTTGTACTTTGAGGGTTTGTGACTTTGCAGACCGTTTACATGCATAAAAACCTTCATAACACACAAGGGGACGGGTAATAACCGGAAAAGCAGGACATGGGACCTTTAAAACATAAGCAGCTCATACTGTACTTTCACATTGGGCCTATCATGTTGCTGTAGCTGGTTGTTCATCTTACATGTTTTGCCCTTATTAGTGCACATAAGGGCAAATGTGTGGCAGCTGACTCGCAAGTTAGAGCTTTCCAAAAGTAACAATGATTTAATATTTACTGTGTTTATAACCAGTACGTCAATGTGCTTCAGACATAAATAAAAACTACGCAAAATATAAGAAAACGCTATAAAATGCTTGAAAAATAGTCAATAGTATTGTGCATTATGAGCAGATGCACATAACAAGTGGAAAAACACAATATATTAATTAGAAATCACAGCTGACCACTTACATTGGTGAAATGTTAGGAGAATGTCATCGTGATATGCTGACAGCAGTGTGATACCACATCCTGTATCATGTCCTGTCGTGAGCCTGGGCAGCATTGCCTGTGACTGCAGGATGTTTTCGTGGGATGAGCAGTATCACTGGGGGATAATAGTGTTTTACTGCAGATTGCAGTGTAAGAGAAACAGCAGCTGTTCTGTGTCTGAGAAAGTACGTCATTGGCTTGACAGCTTGGCTCAGTGTCACAATCACAGCTCTTGTTGGGTTTCAAAATCTAGCCCGAGTACATAGACTTGCTTAAATAAACAACACACAACAAAAACATGTAGAAGGCACAATTTAGACTATTACGTTTTGTGAGTTATTATACTTTTTAGTTAGTCGCAAAATAAGGGTTTCCACTTTAATTCACATATGCATTATGATAAAATCACCTAAAATAAACCTATAATACTTTATGGAAGAATCTGAGGTCAATCATCAGGCGAAAATATGGCTCATATTATCTGACACTCATACATCCATCCCAAAACAGACTAACAGGAAATAAGTATTATCAGAACTAACTGGAATATCTGGTAGACAGTGACGTGTTTAAAAAAACAACAACTTTGAGTTTCTTGAACTTTACTGTGAGCCTGCAAAATATCAAACTGATAGTCTAATCTGAGTTATGTCCCTGTAATCATTAAAATGTTAACCATTGTTATTTCCCTTTTTTCTTCCTGTCCTCTGCCTGGTTCTGTCGTGACTGGCTTTCCCTCCTTTTATTTCTGGAGATTCCTTTCACGCTAGATTTGATCTTACGTCAATCAAATATTAATGTAGAAAGACCAATGACTCCCTCAGGCTTACTTGGCTTTCACCATTTGTTTCTGTCTTGCTTTGTGATGCAAGAACTTGCGCACATAACTCACACACTAGACCGGCTAGAAGAGGGACTTTCATTATTTAAACAAACATACTCCAGCTTGATAAACATTAACTAGCTGATTTGCAGAAAATGCGGTCACAAGTGATGCTATGAGCTCAATAAAGTTTAACTTAGTCCAAATAAATCTATGTTTGAGCTCAAACTTAATGAATAAAGCGATTAAAACAAAGCATATTAAAACACAAAGTAAACTGGTGACCGATTATACTGCTTTAAAGGTCCCATGTCATGCTTTTCCGGTTATTACCCGTCCCCTTGTGTGTTATAAAGGTTTTTCTGCATGTAAACGGTCTGCAAAGTCACAAACCCTCAAAGTACACCCTGTAGCGAGTAAAACTCTAACACAGAAAATACCTGTCTATGCTGCCCCAGAACGCCTTGTTGGAGATTTATCTTTTTCTTCCTGGTACTAAGTGACGTAATGGCGACCAAAATGGACCAATCCGTGGAGCCGTTACGATACGTCCGCAGAGCCGTTACGTTAAGTCCGTGGATTGGTCCAAATTGACCGATCCGCGGACTTCCTCACACACACACACTCAATCTTTTCTCAGCTGCAGCTCCGCCGATTTCTCCTCCCTGAGACGGCGGGACGCGGTGAGGCTGTGAGTCGGTGTGTGAGCACACACACAGACTCCCAGCCAGGCTGCGGGTCTGTGTGTTCGGGCTGGGTTTCGCTGTGTCTCGCTGTCTCGCAGACGACTACTGGGCTCATAGGGAGGGGGGGGCAGGAGCTCCAACAAGCCGTATAGGACAGAGAGTGAATACACGTACTATACAGAGATGCTGTATGAGAAACCAATGTCATTTTGGAAAATTGCACAATATACATCTATTCTAGTAGACCTCAACAATGGAATTATGATCAGTATAAATGGCAATGACATGGGACCTTTAAATCAAATCCTATTGTACTGTCATGACAAAAGTTTCCTTCTACAAAAAAGCTGCTTGTGAGTGTCGATGAGAATGAGTGTTTACAAAATGAGTACTTATTCAGTACTTTATTTTTCACTTAGACCTTTGTTCTGCTGGAGCAGAACAAATCGGTGTCAATTTTATAAATCCGGTTGAAGGACTAACAATATCAAACTGGAGCACATTAGGGCTGCACGATTTTGGGAAAAAATCTAATTGCGACAAATATTGCGATTGCGATATTTTTTTTTTTAAGCGACCCAACGGAAGTGTATTGTAAAATGCGGCCATAACTCCGGCTAGGAAGGTCGTATCAACGTACTCCCGTCTCTAGCACCCCCGCAGCCCGAGCTACGAGTGAAAGAACTAAACTTACATGAAACTTCCGTTGGGTTGCTTTAAAGTCAAGCTTCAGTTTAAGATTCACCCTGTAATAGATGTAAAACATGTGATGGAGCATTACTAACCTGACTCAGATGGTTTGTTTCACCAAACCATCTGGGAAAGCTCCATTGGAAGCCATTTGGAAAGGGCAGGCACTTTCAAAAGCACTTGGCAGGTGATTGGATCAATCTGTCAATCACCTTCTATCATGGGCCACTTCTGATTGATTAACAATGGCTAGTACATGTGGAGCACAGCACATCTGATTAGTGTGGATGACTGACACACAAGAAGGAAAAAAAAAAATTGTAAAAAATAAATAAATAATAATTGTTAAAAAAAATCGCAGGCTTTGCGATTTAAAATCGATTAATCGTTCAGCCCTGGAGCACATCATTGTTTCCTTTCTTAAATTGCTATTTAATGAGTACATATTTTGACATACTGTAGGTGTAACTGTTTACAAGCTTACTGTAGACAGTCTCCATTGCAATGTTCACAATACCGCCCCCCCCCCCTCTTATTCAAGCAAAGCTTAATGTAAACTCCATTATTTCCCATCGGCCCAGACGAGGAAACAGCAGTGTCTAGTCGATGGGATGGATGTATATATTTATACCTTGTATGGAGCCAGATTCCAGCCGACTGTGGTGACGCACAAAGCTAAAAAAGGTCCCATTTCCTGGCCCCACTCAGGAAGCAAAGGAAAGACCATGGCTCCAACAGGGTTGTGCAGGCTGTGCTCGTGGACACTTAACCATAATAAACATTTCTTTTTAACAGCACCCTGCTCAGAGAATAGAGGGAGAGCTGAGTGGAGGTCAAGAAAAAAGTAATAGAATCAAAGGGATGGGCTTACATGTGTGATATGACGAAGTATGAGCAGACATGATGTGTATATAAATAAATAAAAGGCTGACTCAATTTGGTGTTGTTGTAACAAACAGGCTCTTGTTTTATAACCTACAGTTGGTGATTCTGACTGGAAATAGTATTTAATGAAACACATTTTCATGAATTGCGCTCTACTTTCCAGGTAAAAAATGACTCCAGAATTACCCTTCATGCTAATGTAAAGCACGACAACGTCTACAAGAGAGACTTTCCCTCTGAAGATGAGGAGCTGGTCAAGTGGGCGAGTCAGGAGTTTGGGGGTGTAACTTCATTCACCACAATCCGAAACCTGAAAGTTGTGACGTCGACAGGAACAAAAGGTGAGTTGTTTTAGAAAATATGTTTTTTACACTAACAGGGTTTCTTCTATTTACTTGTTGGTTGAATTAGCCAATTCGGAAGAAGTCAATTACAGTACAACTAGTAACATGTCAAAAGACGAGTGAGGATGTATTTGGAAAGCATTATACTGCATTATCCATCAGATTGTCAAAATACTGTACACAACTTTCTGCCCGCTTTAAATAGTTTCAAAGTTATCAGCCCCACTATGATTTCTATCTAGAGTACTATCTTTGTTTGGTCTAAGGCAGTATTTGTGTTGCCGAAGGGAGCAAAGGAAGTGCAGGGGCACAACATACAGCTTACATAATTCAGCAGAAGGTTTGCAGTACAGTAATCACTGCTGCATACTGTGTTTGTTTACACATACAAAGCTCTCTCTCTCTCTCTCTCTCTCTCTCTCTCTCTCTCTCTCTCTCTCTCTCTCTCTCTCTCTCTCTCTCTCTCTCTCTCACTAACATGCTCTTATAAGTGTGTGGGAAATTTGAATCACTGACAAAACACTGCTTTGATACAGACCTCATTGCATCAAAAAAACATGTTTTCTATCAAATATATATATTTACGGTAACTCCAATGTGCCCATGAGAATGTGTATGACCTCAAAACTACACGTTATGAAGTGACTTTTAATAAAACATAACCTAGACAAGAACAGGTACACAGATAAATACATACAAAAAAAAATTCCTTTCACTTTTTTTTAACCAGGAAATTGAGTATGTAGGATCTGATTGAGTAGTGAGTACAGCTGCATTACATAAATAAGCAGACGCCATTCTTTTTTAGAATAAGGTGTGTGGGCCAAAGACCCTCTAGAACAAATAAGAGAGTCTACTAAAGTATACTGCTATGTCGCAGTTCTTTACACTAAACACATGGAATACACCATATATAATCTACTTCTACTTTTCACATTGTACATGTACACACAGAGACTAGGCCTACTAATGTTGACATTTATTAGATGTTTCCAGAGGAGCGCTATGTGTCAACCTTTACCCTATGTGAGCTAAACAACAGCTTGAGCAATAACAGCAAAAAAAACTGAATTTAATAACTAGAGGATCTGTTTCGAATTAGTCAAACCTACCTTGGGGAAATGTGTATTTATTTAACCATTAACATATATATAGCATATTTTAAACATGTGTTGTTTTGGTTTTGCAGCCCAAGTGAAAGTGCTTTGTACTTTATGATGATGACAGATGCATGTTTGAAACACACATTCCTGAACATTGAAACGCCACCAATGCTTAAGATGGAGGATAATATGATTTTAAAAGAAACCCTCATAAAAGGCTAGACATCAAAAAGATTATTGGCTGCTATTGCCATAAGTCCTGTGTCTTTTTGAGTATTTTTTTAGCAATTAAATGTTAATCTCCTTTATTATAATTGTCTGTCCTTCTCCAGATGTGATGAAATGTTGTGTTTTGAGCCATCTGTGTTTTACTGACTCACAGTCAAGGGCATTTAATTCAAGCAGTGCCACAGTTGACGTTGCTATTTTGTTGTATCCCTTGGCCCATATTGAGGTGTTAGGTGAACTTGTGTAGGCTTTGTGGTAGGCGTTTGAAAAGTCTGCAATGACTATACAACAGTGCTTTGTTATAAAAGCTTGCTGAGGATAAAATAAGGAAATGTCCCTCAGGTTGGTTTTAATGTCTCCATGTGAATTTAAGAGAATTCTATTGCTGGTGTAAAGAGGCTTTTCACGGAGTGGGAAAGACAAGAATATTGTGAAGTGTCTATTTGAATTGTGTCATAATGAAGAAAATGTTGATTGCACAATGTAACGGCTAGGGCTGGCTAACATATTAATACTAAAGCAATAGCGTGACATGAGTCTTAATTTAAACATTATTATTTCTCCAGAAAATCTCACTGTTTGAATATTTTGTGGAAGCCGTCAACCCTATAATATTGTTGCACTTTCGGTATCATGGTACTTTGTCATAGATTTTGTGATGTTAGGTGCGCATAGGCTTTGTAGAGTCAAGCAAGATGGCAACACAGTGTTAAAGAAACTTAGTTTAAGATAGTCAATTTTAGGACTGATAGTAAAAGTCGATTAAAATGAGCACTCAAAAATCATTCTATTTGCAAATACATTTCCACATGACGGGAGATTGTTAAAAGTTTTTTCTCTTGGAAGATGGAGGAGGAGGAGGCTTGGCTTAAATTCAACGCTCAACATATTCAGGGTATATTCGTTGTATTTTCTAAGCATATTCTTGTCAAAATGTGGCTCGAATTGTTGCTCGGCATTGGCAGACTATTGGTTTGATAAGGTTATGAGGTACTATTGTGGGCTATTTCTCCCCCATTTCCAGCATAATTTCTTGGAGAGAAAATATGCGTAGCAATTTAAGCTCTGCAACAGGATGCACCTGCAAACCATCAGTCAGCATTATTTGGTCAAAGGCTGAGCGTAGTGAACTCTCATGAGACTGCTCCTGGAACTTCTCCCATAGCAGGAAAGGTAAGGTACTAATGTGCCTGTCCCAGCAATTTGGTTTGATGCTGCAGGCTATCGCTTTCCAGTGTCGGCCACCCAGTAAAAGTCTGTAAACAGAACTTATTTCACCGATTAGCAATATTCTCTCAGAGCATCACTCACATTGAAACTACCCTGTTGTATTAATAGTAAAAAAAGGCTTAAATTGTTATTTCTTATTGCCTATGATGGCAGAGCCGCTACCCCAATGCAACATTTAGTAACAAAAGGGCCATCAGTCTATTTTTGTGGGCTGTCTTGTTTCTTTGTAAGACTAAGCATGCAGGAATAATTGTATTTCTCAAATGTGTTGTTTAGCCAACAATGAATGCTAAATGCATTTTTGTGGTTTTACAGTAACCAAACCTGGCTCCTCTAACTGCACACTGAGAAATGAAGATGCATCAGAGAAGCACTTCATGAAGATTGAAACAGCACCCCTGGCTACATCTTGCTCCCCATCACCACAGAACCCAAATGATGAAACTGAGCTTCACATCATAAACATCCCAGACAGTGCCAAACCTTGGTAAACCTAACGACCCACACAGCATGGAGCCTCCTGTATGTTTTTTTTGTTGGCAAAAGTTTTATAATGTTTATTCTGATTCTTCATATTGCAGCAATGTATCAGTTCGGTTTGGCACTAAGAAGACCAGAGTGTTCCTGAGAGGCCCTCAGGGCACCATATGGACCTTCATCAACCTACTGCACACACAGTTTGTTGTAAGCCAACACACACAAACACACATATATATATTTGTTGTCTCACAACCAAATGTAAAATAGGATAAATGAGGACACAGACTCCACTCAATAGTGCAGTGATATAGCTTAAAAGGGTTAGAGGATTTCTTACACACAGTAAGCTTTCCCATGCCTGTGAACATGTTATTGTGTGACTGCTGCTGGTAGACAGTCTCTAAGTGAATATTAATAATGTATTTAACCTGGTCTTCTCCTTCTCTACAGTCTAACAATGACATCATGCTGCTCGCCATGAAACACATAATCTCACCTACAATTACACTGAACAGCGGCAATGCAGTGGATGTGCAGAGGAAAGCTTTAGATTATTTCAAAGCCAGTACTTTCACCAGCTTCACTGAATTCAGCCCAGAGTATCCTATGGTCCTACTGGTCCTTAGAGACAACGACAACCCTGAAGGTAAGACCATTTCTTAGATTTTAGGCTTTTTTTTACAAAGAGAATAGATGAAGAACTGCAAAAAAAAGCCAAGCACAAAAGATGGAACATTTGAAAGATGAGTGCTTTAATAACTAAAAGTAAACATATATGGCATTTATTTTGTTGATCTTCTTTTAATTTGATCCATTTTTCCATCAGTTACAAAAACTTCACCAGCAGTTACCCCCACCACCACTAATGCCCCCCATCAGATGCCCCTGCTGATGCAGCTGTACACCTCCCCAGAATACCACTCTCCCATGGACCCTAACACCAAGGTGCAGAGTGACAAGAGAATTTATGCAGAGGTAAGAAATCATTCACCCTCTTCGCTGTATTTCACGCCTGTTGACTCAACGTTTCAAAATCCCTTGAATAAGCTCATGTATAATTCTTTATTTCAATGTGAAACACATTCACTTTTATACCCACAGTTGTACACTTGTGCTTAGTGTGCTCTTTCCATGCTGTTTAATTGTGTTTGTATCTGTTTCTGTTTCCTGTAGATCTCATCGCAGACCTTGTGGGACAGTGTGTTGACCATCAAGGTGATCAGCTGCTTTGTGCGCTCCACTGGCTCATGCCCTGTAGTGAAAGAGCTGCCCTTCATGTCAGAGGCTTGCTCTGCACATTTGTGTCCCAACAGCACCCGACTGAGCTTCTCCTTAGATCAGCTCCACGAACTGACGACCACCACGTGGGACCTGGAATGCTCTGTCAAAGTTTGCTACAGTCAGGTAGGAGTCAACATTTGAAAAAAAACACGTCATGACACAACTCTTAACCTGTGTTACAAACTTCCTTTGTTTGCCTGGAATATTTTGTGGTGAAGGTCATTGTAGATCTGTTATGGTCGGAGACTTTTTTTGAGTCTTAGCCAACAGCAAAAATACTAAAGCTTGAATGTAGTTTTTCACACACTTATGACAAGTGACCTTTTGGGTACGGTTAATAACGCATTTCTTTCTCTGCCTCACTAGCACTGTGGAGATGGAGGAAGAGTGAAGAGGAATCTGGAGGTTACCCAGCCGTGTCTGCAACCACCAAGTGAGTTCAGTTTAAACTCCAAAATATGGATCAGTTTTAAGTGCAATTCCCATTCTGCTCATTGGAACACATTAGAACAAATCCCAATGTGCTATTAGGCAACTAGACTCAGGTATATTGAGTTAGTTAATTTTCTACTCTTTCTCTTCTTACAAAATTAAACTTTCCAGAGAAAATATTACCCCAAAATTCACAAAGCAGTTGAATATTTGGTAGATTATGTGTAGATAATGTTTTGTATTCCTTTTGTGTTTTTTGTATGTAAATATTAACATAATTATAAATAAAAGGGTATTAACAAATTGCCTAGTTGAGCAAGACATTTCACAGCTAATATAAACATCTGCAACGCTATTAAGTAGTTGATCATGTATTTGATTTGTTTCAACAAAACATCAAGGAACAGATAAAAAGACAAATAGCTTTTTGAGTAATGAACATATAAACTCTGAGAACATATATTACCTTATTTTGCCTAAGGGCCTAGTTGCTCGGCTGGTGCTTGGCCAGTGAATCGCAAATCATTTTCATCCCAATTGTTGCTTTCAGTGGCGCGCGGGCGGTTGCCATAGCAGTGAACTCAGGATATGCAGTGAAGCCAGTGAGGGGCTGCGGGGCCGGGGCCTCGTCCTTTAGGAAGGTCTGCAGGCTGACCTTGTGGCCACAATCAGAAGTAATGGCCCTCAGGGGAAGGGGGGGGTTCCTTTGTGTTTCCAAGGGGTCTGACTGTGTTGCTGTCCAAACACAGCCACTGAGCCTGCTGCTATTGTTGGACCATTCAACACAGTTGACTCAAACAAGGAAAGATGTCATTCTTTACAGAGAAAATAGTCTCCAGACAGATGATTAATTCATAGTAGAATTGAAACATTTAAAAAAATACAAAGGAAGAAGATGTTGATTCAATGCGGAGTTCCGTCAGACTTCTTTGGAAGAACTGAATGTGTTTATTCCTTAAGCTTCCTTTATCCTCCATTTCCTCCTAGAGGAGAAAGATAAAGGTTGGTATGTCAGTGTTGCAGCATACAGTGCTGCTGCAGCAGACTGAACCACTCATCCATGCTTTCCTGTGTCCTGTTTGTCCCCTCTTTGCGTTTTAGTTTTAACTTGTGCAACACAAATGTTTGTGTTTTCCTGGAGACTTGGAACTGAATCACAGGAATAGTGCTAGTTGTAAAGGAATGTGTCAGATTAATAGCTTTGTTTATGTATCTCCTTTCATTACCCAGTGTCAGAGATACAAAGGGTTATATCGGCCCCATTCCTGTTTGCTAGTATTCATACAGAGGGCTCTGCCTCCTCCTGTCCACCTGCAGTGGAGCGTCTGCTTCCTGCCCTTGTTTATTCAGCTTTGCTGTCAAAGCCTCACTTTGTACAAACCAACACAGCAACTGATTATAGAAAAAGGTCTCTAGAGAAAGCCTGCAGAAGTTGCTGTGATGTTTCTGGCTCATTCAGGGTCAAGGAATGTTCCTCGTTGACAGATCAACAAACTGGGTTGGCTCTCTAGGATGCGGTCGGAATAAATGCCCACAAGATGTCACTGTTGTGATCTGGGTCATGTTTAAATCACTTGATATTTGTTTGATCAAATGTAAAAAATCAGGCTTTGTACTTTCCTAATGTCTTACAGTTCAGTTCAAATGTTCTGATATCGTCATTAAGTTCATTCAGGCTCTTTTCATGAGCAATAATACTGCACAAAGGGGTGACTCGTTTCTACTAAACAAACTCACTCTCTTCTGTCCATCATGTCCTCTATTTAATGTACTTCAGGACAGGGAGGGTTATAAAGCCCAGTGTAGCAATTAGCCTAGCACATTCCCCCAGGAGGCAGGAGGCAGGTGAGAGGAACTCGTGCAAAGGTGATGATTAGTTTCTTCCAAATGTTCTAAATACTTGGGATGATCTCTACAGGTAGCAGAAGAAGTGAAGAAGGAAGGGTGTGAGTTTGTGTTTTCTTGATTTGACACAACACACTTCTGTTTTTTGTGTGTATAGCCTTGCATAGCCAAAATATATTCTTATTTGATGATTTTGGTACATAATTTAAGTCTTTAAAGAAAGGTGTTAATTACTTCCCAGTTAAGTTAAAAAATATAACACTTCAGACCTTCCAGCTGCTTTCTGTCAAAGCGATTTAGACATGATCTTGGTTTGAGTTTAATTAAGTTGGTAAAGAACATCATGTTTGTTTTCTGATTAAAAAGCAAAGATCAATGACTGACAAGTTTTAGGTGAAGTCTGAGCGAAGGGGGAATATCAGTGATTTATTGCACAGCCTTATTGAAATGACACCTCTCTCAAGGTCATCCATGCACGGCCTTGCCAGACCACAATGAGCGAAGCAAAACTGTGGGATGGCCTTGCCATGCTCGCCCAGATGTCGATGCCACAGTGCTGCATGTCATGGGCTTGAGCGAGTCTTAGTGTGTACCCGTTCTCTTACTCTTTCAGAGCTGATTTAAGAGAAAATTATATTTTATTGCTGCTGGCTCAGATTTTTATGTTTTCTATTAAGTTTGTCAGAAATGAAGGACATTGTGCGGGGCGAGCACACAGAACCATCAATGCCAAACTTGATTGTAAATTTGTATTATTAAATTACAACGGAGACAATGTTCAGTTCAGATGGGTCGAACCCTGCCAAAACAATGTTATATACTGAGTGGGCTTTGCTTAAATTGCCATGGTAACTAGAAGGGAGAAAATGTACTATTAAAAGATCTTGTGCAAATAGAATATATTTTACATAGCTGCTGTTTTTCGTTTCTTTAAATCTATACCATCAATATATATCACTATATCTAGTTATCTTTTTTATTTATCTTCATTCAATTGTTCTGTAATTGTGAGAAGGATTTGTTTTTGTTTTAAACACCTTTTATTTGTGCATTCCAACAAACTCCTACACCTTGAATTCACAATGCATTTGCCTCGGTACATAATATTCACTAGACACAACAGTACAATTACTGCGTGGGTGTTTTGTTACACTGCAAGAAGATTTGGTTCTGGCAACCGGTACTTCTGGTTTGCTGTACTTCTCAGGAGAAATCAGCCAATCTGATGAGGTTGCTGAAATCTTTGAAATTTTTGCTGTTCCCGAGTGAAAAATAATATTATATATATTTATCTCTGGATCTGAAACAAAGTCCTTGCATCAACAACTATCATTATAATAATGATTTTGACACAAACACAAAACAAAATCAGAACATTATTTGTGATTGACCACCTTCTGTATATCAAGAGCATCTCAAGTCATTCTTTTTGGCTTGTACATCTGTGAAACCCTTGCTGTTTTTGATCTGAAGCTTGCATACATTGTGTTGTTTCCTGTGTTTCAGCCCCACAATGCTTTGATTTCCGCTTACCTGGCGTTCTGGGCATTGCATTTGGAGGCTTCCTGATTGGAGTATTACTTATTGGAGCACTGTGGTTTATCAAAATAAAAACAGGTAAATGTTTTTTTTTTATTATTGAATATAGATCTAAGTTGATATTCGTCTGTATTTGAAATTGTCTCAATATGATTTCCTCAGGTTACCCAACTGGACTGGACATTAGCTCAACTGCAGCTAATCTTCCTGGTAAGGGCTTTTTTATTTTTTTTTCATTAGTATCTTTTCTATTTCTTCCAGGTTCTTATTGGCTTCTTTCTCATGTTTCTTCAGGATGTCCTTGCTCAGGAGCTAAACGACAACCAGTTTCTACCAACCCTTCCCCTTCTGAGAACAGTAGCGCCAATGCTAGCATTGGAAGCACCCAAAGCACACCGACCAGCAGCATGGCATGAGACTATGGTCATCTCCACCTCCAGCAGAGCCACTGTCTTCCTTCAAAGTCACTTATACGGGTTATGTGCTTTTTTTTTTTTATCATTGCTTAAAAAGCATTTCCACTTTAAATTATCCTTAAGGAGCACAACTTATGTCTTTGACCCACCAAGCCTGAAATGGATGTGTCCGGGGAGTTTTTTTTTTTGGTGGATTGGAGGGGCTAGTAGCTGCGAGACGGATAACAGAAGTCTAATCAGTGGTCTCTGACGCTCACCTCTGTATCCTCTCTGTTAAGTCAAGCTGCTAGACAGGAAGTTAAAGAGGGCAAGAGGACAAAAAAGAAAATTGGCTCCCAGCAACAGGAAAAACAAACCATATCCCCCAAGAGCTTACAGGAAATTCACTGCATTCCTTCCAATGAATTGTGCTTGCGTGATGGCGGCACAATAATAGTTAACAGGAGACAATCCAGTCGAAAGATTGTCTTTGAAAAACAGAGGAAAAGCTGTTTTGCATTCACATCTAAGCTTCTTAACTCCAAAGGGCTTCTGGCTAGGTCAGTCCAAAGTGTTATCAACAACGTCTCTGGGACTGAAAGGCTCATCATGTTAGGATCTCAAACCCGCCAATGAAGTGCTCACTTAAAAGGCTATTCGTCTTTATTGGAGTTTGAGGTCAATAGTTAACAGCTACCTCCTGTTATTTAGAAATCTGGAGCTAAGTTTAAACTTAAAACTAGATTTCTCTGGTGAATTGATATTATTTTCTGCTTTATACTTAATTTTATGTTTTATTCTGTCACTTTTGGTTAATCTTTTTGTTGATCTTCTGGGTCATTTGTAGCTCACAAAACAAAGTTATGGTGGTAAAGATCCTTTTTATGAACGTCTGTCTTTCATTGTTTATTGAAAGTTACATAGAAATATACTTACACTACTTAATTACTCAATACAAATATCATACATTTTATTATTTCCCTCAAGGAAGCAATAAATGATGCACCATTAAGAGGAAAAACGTGTAAGCTGAGATGAAATAATCACTGTTAAAATGCAAATCGCAACATGAAGATATACATGGCTGTATCCAGAGCTGAGTAATGTGCTTATAATGAGGAGTTTGTACCAAATCTCTGACGTCAGACTTTTGCTTTATAAGGATTAAAGCGCCACTAATACAGCTACGCCCACAGGGTGGAGTTTCCCCAAAATAGTCTGTCTGGATGTTGAATTTCAGTACTTTTCCTTTGCACATATCCATTTGCAGTCCAGCAATATTGCCTGACAATTTGATGTTACCACCATTTTTAAGCATACTATGAATTATACGTCTGTGGTAACATCCTTAAACATATACAAACATGAACATGAATATGAATGTATTGCATTTAACTGTTTCCAGCCAGGTTTAATCTTAATACTAAATTATATTTTGATACGTGTTTGCCTCACTGAAGGCAGTCAATTATTTGAGATGAGAAGCTAATGTTTGTTTAAACAAGTGTGTTACAAAACCCAGTTTCTGGTGAGAAACTGACCAACTTAGAACTGTTGATTAGTCGCATCAAATATATACCAACAAAAACAACCCCACCCCAACCTTGTACATTTAAACTTCCCATTTCAGTCACCAGTTCTGAATACAGCCTAGTGAAAACTGTATGAGAGCAGATTTGATATGTATTGCAACTAGATATCCTCATTCACCATTTCTACTCGGACCAATACAAATAAAAGCACACACAATTTGTTAGTTACATAATCGTGAGCCTCAATTTAATTCAGAAAATCAGCTTAAGAAGTAGGTTGGGTTTAATCAAACAACAGACTTTCTCATAGATTCCGCTGTTAGTGTTTAGTCTTCAACAAAAAGTCAAAGTTGAATTATTATAAGTTATGTACTTAAATAAGTGGGTGTATGCACATACTTTTTTTTATCCCAATCCACAATCTTTTCCTTACCATTACCAAGTAGTTGTAATCGTTAGACATGATCTGCACTGCAGTGTTGCTGGACATTAGTTAAAGAACATTCGAAAAATTGTGAGTGCTTTTTTTCGCACAATGTCGTACGGACTGTTGTATGAGGATACGTTAGTTGCAACTACACATCAGTCAATCATTTATGCTTTTCACCCCATGAAGAGTGCTTTAAAACTCAGATTTATTTCCAGCTGTCACACAACATGCCAAATGCTATGGAAATTGACCTTTGTGAGAAACCAGTTTAACTTTCTAATGATTAATCTCTGCTAACCCTAAGCCCTGCAGTGCTAAGGCTAGACAGAAGATGCATACATGCATAATAAGGAACTCATGAGAGCTAAAACTGTAGTGACGGTTGATCCGTAAATCCAATATTTTGGTTCAATGTAGAATTGTTCAGGTATTTCCTTTATTGTATTGCCACTCTGTTACCTCTTTGAACATATTCCCAGCACATGTTTTGTGGTATCAGTCAGAAATGTGTATTCACAGCTTTGGCACAAGCACCAACATTGTGACTTTAAAATGTTTCTTTATAAACATTTGACTCACTAATCTACTTGTACATGCATATATATATATATGTATATATTCACACTCCCGATAGTTACTTGCCTTCTTTAGTTAAAATAATTTATTCGCCTTCAAATGTAATCACAGAAATATTCAACGTTTCCGAAGTAACTGCATTTCTAAAATGTCTCCTCATTGTATGTGAGCCATGTAGCTTCTTACCCCCCTCTCCTTTGTGTATTTGGTGATACGAAGAACAAAGAAGGCCAGTACAAATTTCCACTTGAGTATTTGTGCAATATGATGAGGTAAACTCCTATGTAATGTCTATATGTAGTTTTTTTACCATGTTTTTTATATTAAGTGTTGTATGATATTTTTACTTTGACACATTTTCTCAACATGCTTTGTTCTTTTACATATTTGGAGAACTGGGACCATTCCTAATCATGGGCACTTATCAAATGCATAACATTTGTTTTGTATTGTAATCTTTGTTTTTTTAGCCTCCTATAGCTTTGAGTTTCAATAATATTGTAGTCACAGACGGCGCGTGTCACATCACATGTCAAAGACAAAAGTTTGACTTTTGCTCACCCTTCAATTCCCCTGCTGTCCAAAACATGGCATATCTCTGCTGATACTGACATCCTGACATTGTTGTGTGTTGTTTTTGCTATCTTCACTGGGTGTGATGGGGAAGTATTCTGAAAGACAGAATGTCTGTCCAAAGACGCATTCTCAGGAAGAATATTCATCATTCACAAACTTCTCCTTCACAGGGAACGCTCAAACTTAAGAGTAAAAAGGTTTAGCTTTTAGGATATCTTTTTTTTTAAATGTCAGGTAGTCCGTACCTGTGTTAAACCAGTCCCAGGGACTGACACCTTCTGTCTGAGCACTGACAGTAAAATCAGACAGGCTGCCAGTTTATTCACCTGTAGATCTTCGTTACCTCTGACAACAGCTTCCTCCACAATGCGCGTGCGTGTGCGTGTGTGTGTGTGCGTGTGTGTGTGTGTGTGTATACCTATTTATGTGAGCAGATCCTTTCTCCAGCCCCTAACAATGTCCACATTATGAATTCTTATTAAAGAAGCCTGAACAACATGCCAGAATGTCTCCTTAGATTTGATCTAGTATTAAATGCAGAGTAACTTTTAAACCATTTAAAATGGAGTTCATTTCTTGAGACAATACTCAACTGATGTCATGTACCTTCATGTTGTCTGTGAACCAATATATGTTTTGTCTAAATTGATCTTAATAAAGTGAATATGACAAACGTTATTTGAGTTTTCTTGTGTCTGTCTCACAGCATATCTAATCAAATCAAGTTTTATTTATAAAGCACATTTAAAAGCGATTTTTGGTCGAGCCAAAGTGCTGTACATGTAATGAAAACACATTGCTACAATCACAATAAAAGACAATAAATTACAACAGATATATAAAAAACACAGGGAATAGTCAGGAGTCGTGCTCCGCTCTGACTAGAAGGCCAGGGAGAAGACGTGTGTCTTAAGTGTAGATTTAAAAAACCCTAGGGTCTGGGCCGACCTCACAATAGAGGGGCAGATGTTCACAGAGCCTTAGGGCCAGCCGCTGCGAAGCTCTGTGACCTCTGGTTTTGAGCCTGGTCTTGGGCACTACCAGCAGCAAGCTGGTCAGCAGACCTTAAAGCTCTGGCTGGGGTGTAGCGCTGGAGGGATTCAGCTTATATAGGCCGGGAGCCAGCCCATTTAGTGCATAGCAGGCCATTGGTACGTGGTAATCAAATATATGTGGTTTTGGAAAAGAGCATCCCCGATCTCCAGGACCAAGTATATGTCATCTTTTTTTTTTTAATAAAAAATGGTACAAAAGCACTAATGTCGCAATTACCTGTGGTTAAACCGGTACTAGGATCATCTATCTACAACAATTGGGAAAACTGAGTGGTACCTTTCTGTCATAGACGCAAACTGAAGTCGGAGAGCAAAAAT